AGTTCTCCTCCTGACCTCAGCAGAAGTATGGCCAGGCCTGTGGGCAAAAGGATCACTGCTGAACCCTTCAAGAGCAGCGATCAGAGAGTCACAGAAGAGACCTGTGTCCGCCTTCGTAAGGCCCTGTTTCCAGTCCTGGCCGCTTTTCTGATGTTCATGTGAAACCAAAAAGGGGCAAATCCCCCAAGGTCCTTTATGAATGTCTTTTCCAGGTTCCCCCAGGGCATATGCTGCAGCAGAAGTCAGTGGCCTCTCCTTCCCATTCAGTAACTGAGGACACAGACACAGGCCCCACCACCCAGCACAAGCGAGCCCCAGACCGCAGTGGCTGCCTGCAACCCAAGTGCCAGCGCCTCCAGCAAGAGCATTTTCTCAGGAAATCAAAGTGATGCTTTCAGAATAGAACTCCTATTTTAATCTAGACCAAGGGTCAGCAAACTTTTTTTGGAAACGTCCAGATAGTGCATATTTTAAGCTTTATGGGCCAAGAGGCAAAATAGGCGTTATTGTATAGGTATTGATAACAAGAGACAACAAATGTTCACTAAGTTTATGGACAAAACTCAAACTATGATACTTGAGTGCAATTTTTGTAACACAGGTGTAATGAGTAGAATGGAATTCTTTTTTTGGTGAGGGATAACATTTCCTTTAAGTGGGCTTCAGAGTTAGCGTCCCCTATTATCAAAATCTCTTGTAAGTGTTCACCTCTTAGTGCTGATCTGCAATGAGATTTATCTTTGAAAAGGTCTTTTTACACAGGTAGGTACTGCCAAAAATTGATACCGGTCCACAAGTTTATGATTTTAAGTTAGCATATTCATTGCATGAAAGGTATTTATAGAATTCTGTTAGGTTCTTCTCTTGATATTTCCCTTCTACTATGCCATTACGTTGTAGATTAATGTCTTCCAATTGTAGATTAGGTGGCAACTCCTCAATTGCACAGCTAAATGGATTTTAAAATATGGAAACCAAGGTTCAAAAAACACTGGTAGAACTGTAGTTTGGGCTTAGAAATTATATCCACTGCAAATTTATGTGAGGATGGAGACCTCACCTCTTCTTTTGATTTTCACAGGAAAGTATATAAAGCAATTTGACATGACTTGCACTTCAAACAATGTCAGCTATCCTTGAAATGACTTCAACACAGTATAAGTTTTGCACATAAGCGATGTTTTACATTGTAATTTTAGGTTGAATTCACTAAGAAACATTGTCAAGTCTGCAGTAAAAGCTAATTTCCAAAGCCCTTCAGAACTCAATCACAGTGGCTGAGGGCAATTTTTCTCATTAAAAATTTCAGGCTCAGCTCTGAGCTCAAAATAGTGGTTAACTCTGTGGAGGGAATGTCAAATCACTGTTAACACTAATGGTTCAGTCATGTACAAAAGATTTTTTTTTTTTTTGCAAAGTATCTGCTGATACAGGGAATAGCTTTAAGCAACTTAACATTTTCACGAGCTTTGTAAATTTGTGACTTGTCCGGTTTTCTTTTTCACACATTTTTACCACCCTCAGTTATAACATCTTAGCAGATTCCACTTAGAGTTGTAGTGAATTCGTGTTTCCTCAACTTCTCTGGAAAACTCCTACCTCGAGCTGTCCCACACATGCTGTTCAGAGAGCCTAATGCCTCAGTCGCTTCAGCCTCAGCACTGAGTCCTCAAACAAGCAACTCAGCAGTGTCAGCGTGGACTCGCCAAGAGCCGAGGGAGGCTGCTCGTTGGATCTTTGGCCTTTTTTTTTTTAACTTATTCTTGATACTGATCCTGACGTGCTAAGTCCTCTGGCAGCTGTTCTTCTGGAAAGATGAATGAGTTTATATTGTTTGGACCTGTTTCTTTGGCTGCTGCAATTAGTTGACTCTAAGAGATGAGGTTGCCACATACAAGCTCTGTCACACCTACTCAACTCGCAGTTGTAGCTTATGAGCAGCCAGTGACAATATGTAAACAAGTGACCATGGCCGTGTTCCAAAACTCCTCTATTTATGGACACTGAAACTTGAATTTGATGTGTTATGAAATATTCTTTTGATTCCACCCCCCTCCCCCCACCCCATTTAAAAATGTAAAAACCATTCTTGGCTCACAGGCGGTACAGAAACAGGTGGTAGACTGGATCGGGCCCCAGGGCCGTGGTTTGCTGACACCTGATCTAGACTCTTGTTGCCATCACAGGCGTAGAACACGAGTGACAGATGAGGGAGGGGATGTGAAGACCAAACAAGAGAGGTTCGGGTTTCACCTTTACAAGGTGCCAGCCAGTGTTTGCCAGTTGTTCAGAAGTCAGCCCCAAACTTGAAACCAAATTGGGAGGAATCTATCAAAAGTTTGCTGTACATGATTCTCACCTCCCAGAGGGAACGTCTACCACGTGTTCATCTCCTGGAGGGGAATGACTACCGCATTTGCAGAATGCCTCCTCAGAGGTGCTCCTTTAACACTTCATTCATCTACAGTTTAGAAATTTGTGACATCTAGCCCAGAGGTCTTCCCTGGACCATTTTCTTTTAGTATCTATTCTGTATATTTCAAGCTTCCTAAACTTTTTCCGTCCTCTTTTTGGCCGTGCATTCCTATTATCCTGTGCTGAGTTTAGCATGGATTTTTTTTGGGTCAACAGTCCCAATCTCTAATGAACTGAGTGGTTTTTAACAGGCATTTTCTAAACCAGGGCCAGCCCCTACATCCCCCACCATTCTTATTTCTTGCTCTTTTTTCTATTTCTTCAAACTTAGAATTCTCACACTCTCTCAGCTCTATCCTGCCGTCTGCCTCCTGGGAAAATCCTTGAGACCCCAGCTCCCAAGGGAGTTTTCTCTCCACTTTCTCATCCTGCTCTCCCTTGTCCATTCCCCATGGCTCGAGAATGCCCTCCACTGACTTCAGAAGTGAGGCTGCTCACTGTGGGCGCTTCTCAAGTCTGTACACTCAGGAATAGACTGAGAACCCCTTTGTCTTCTGCCATTCATTGTCTCCTCTGTGTCTAACGCAAGGCCCTCTGCCCTGGCTGAGAAACAGGGCGAGGAGAAGTGCCATGACAACAATGCCTGATCCCCAGGCAAAATCTCTACCTGTTTTTAAGGGAGCCCACGCTGGTCCAAGACACACACACACCCCCAATCAAGACCAAAGCCTCTCCATCCACAGGCAGTGTGGCCTCTAACAGCACAAGCATTTGCAGTGAGCCTGCATCCCAGATGCCAGCCCACTGTACCAGCTATCTGCGCAGGTATGAATCACGTTTCCACGATGCAGAGAGAAATGGCCAGGATTCCCTGTTCTTTGTGTGTGTGTGTGTGTGTGAGGCAGATCAGCCCTGAGCTAACATCTGTTGCCAACCCTCCTCTTTTTTTGCTGAGGAAGACTGGCCCTGAGCTAACATCCATGCCCATCTTCCTCTACTTTATATGGGACACCGCCACAGCATGGCTTGAGAGGCAGTGCGTCAGTGCGCACCTGGGATCTGAACCTGCAGACCCTGGGCCACTGAAGCGGAGCGCTATGCCACTGGGCTAGCGCCCCTGTTCTTTTTAGGTGCTTGCCAACACCACAGCTTCCAGGCGAGTAACTACCTGACTCATGACGTCATACCCAAATGTATGCTTCATGTCCAACTAGTGCTTTGCCCTAAAGTTATATGAAGTATTCTTTGGGGACTTGGTCAGAACAAGATGAGAACCTTGAAGACTGCTTTTAATTCATGTGAATGTTCTCCCAAGGAGCTGAGGGAGACTATTGGGGAGAGAATGCCTTGAAGATGCATAGCCAACATTATATTACTATTATCATGCTATTACTATTGCTGTTAATAATTAAGTATGTTTTCGCCCTGGAGTAGGTGGCCAGAATAGAAACAAATAATAAGCTTTTACATTTTTTCTCTGTCTTAAGGTAGAATTTACATACGATAAAATTCACTCATTTTAAGTCTGTAGTTTGATCGGTTTTGATGATTGTATGCAGTTGTGTAGTCATTACCATGATCAAAATATGGAACACTTATGTTCCCCTTCAGTATCCCTGTGCCTCTTTACACTTCATGGCCTCTCCTGACTCTAGTTTTGCCTTTTCTAGAATTTCATAAGTCTAAATTCAATTTCTTTCATTGATAGAGGACTATTGGTTAATTTCTTTTTGGGTCAGTTTTGCTCACCTGTGTCTTTTAAGAATGTTGTCTGTTTTCATCCAGGTTGTCAAATTTACTGGCATAAAGTTGTTCATAATAGCTCCTTATTATCCTTGAAAAGTCTATAGGACCTGTAGTGATGTACCCTCTTTCAATGTATTATATATTGATTTTAAAGAAAAAATCAAACACAAAATAAAATCTTGCATCCTCTTTTCTTCATAAGTTTCTAATTTCTTGTCCTTAAATTTTCTCTCTTTAAACTATTAGTAGTGTGCACCTAAGCCAGTGTGGTATACGGAAGAACATGGTCTTTGAATTACCAAGATTTACACTTAAACTCAGCCACTCACTAGCCCTGTGACCTTGAACAGATGCCACTGTGAATCTTCATCTTGTTCTCTGTTAAATGTGGGTAACAGTGTCTCCTGCCCAGGTAGCTGGGAGGCCTTGCAGGTAATGGATGCTCCCTGAGTGAGAGCCATTGTGGTGGTGATGGATGAGATGGTGTCCCCCAAATTGTGTTGCTCAGGCTAGAATGAGTTACTGGTTTTAGGGTAGTGGAAATTTTGAGAGCCTCTTGAAGCCTTCGGTTTTCTCTAACTCCGTGTGTCTGTTTCACATTCCGTATTAGAATCCTGAGTTTGTGCACTATGGTGTACATTATTGAAATGTGGTTCATTCTTTATCTAGAAATTCTGCTTTTGACAGATATAGTACATCAGTACAAGTATTACTGGGAATGGCTTTTGTACAAGGAAGCAAAATCAAAACCCAAGACGTTTAAAATAGAATTGCAAAAATGATATTCCTTATTGTTGGTAGTTTTTTCTTTAATTTGTTTCTATTTCTTATTTCCTAAGGTCCTTGATTTTCCCATTTCTGATCCGAGGAGGAAAGCCAATGCCATTGTGCTTGAGTGTGCTGGCATTCATGTTCTGTACCTATAATAGCTACTTGCAAAGCAGATACTTGAGCCAATACGCTGTGTATGCTGATGACTGGATCACTGACCCCCGATTCATAACAGGTGAATGTCCTTGGTGATGCACTCTGTCGTTCTAATCATCACTTTGATTTTCATGTTCCAGTAGCTTCCAGTTAGAAAGCCCATTCTTCTCGAGAGAACAAGGAGTCTGTGATGGTCCCTGACCCAGCAAACAGGGGGGCCAGGGCACCAGAGGTAGAGTCAGGCTGTCCCAGCTCGGCATCAGCAGGGGGAGATGACGCAGGTGCCTAGCATCTTTGCCCACTCAGGCACTGAATGTGCAAATACCTGTTTTTAAGGCAATGCTAAAAATAGCAACACGCTCCAGCAGAGTGAGCAGTTAGCTAAGTTTGAGGAGACTTGGGCGCTAATTGACTGTGTAATCTAAGATAGGCATTAAACCTCCTGCAGTTTCCTCTGGAACATGAGGACAAGTCAGACTGGGTTATCTTCCAACAAGGTAATTAAACTTTTATGGTTATACTAACTTGAATAAACTTTTAGGTTTGTGAAGTTTTTGGAAGTTTTTTATTTTTATCAATTAATGTAAATTAGTGTACATTTTCAAAATCTAATGATAACCTTAAAGTTTTGAGCAAAAATGAAAATAAAGCATTAGCAATCAAAAATATTTGCAAGTGGGCCGGCCCCGTGGCTTAGCGGTTAAGTGCGCGCACTCCGCTCTTGGCGGCCCAGGTTCGGATCCCGGGCGCACACTGATGCACCGCTTCTTCAGCCATGCTGAGGCCGCGTCCCACATACAGCAACTGGAAGGATGTGCAGCTATGACATACAACTATCTGCTGGGGCTTTGGGGGGGAAAATAAATAAATTAAAATATATATATATTTTCAAGAGCATGAAAAATATGTGATCTCAGGGCTCTTGTTTATAGGGAAGGTTCTTCTATATATTTATGTAGTTTATTCTCCTAGAGTTTAGAAATTCTAGCACGTTCAGATGTAGCTTGCCCCCATGGTAGCAAACTAAGTCTGATATTGTTCCATCAGATTTTCAAACTGCCCTGCAGGCCTTTACCCTAAGCTACATGAAGTGACCTTACATTTCACTTGGCTTTTTCTTTATGTGTATGAATTTGTAATAATAGAGAAAACTAACATTCGAATAATCCTTTATTGTTGACAAAGCACTTGCACATTGCTCAGCCGTATTTTTTTCTGTGAATTAAAATCTTCCCAGGGCAGTGCCCTCGTCGGACCTGAGAATTGTTACAGTGAGAGCTCTGCTTCCTCTTCTCTCACAGGAGGGACGGAGGAGAACGTTTCCAAGATCCTTTTCTAGCTCCACGGGTCTGTGCCTCCATGAAATGCTAGACTAATTTTGTTTGTGCACTGCCCCCAACTGTCTTCCTGATTTACCTGCTCTTTGCCTGATTTTCTTCTGCCCCGATCACCAGAAGGAGGAGAAAGAACAGGCTTTGGAGTCCCCGTGAAGAAGGCTTGCCCCTCTGCACACACACGTTCTGCCTCCCACAGTCCTGGAAAGGGCAGAAATTAGGCCCTTTTCAGGTGAGAAGGGAAAGGTCAGAGGGATAAGCAGTAGGCCCAAGATCTGACTCGAGTAAAATAGCAGAGCTAAGGTTTAAACCAGCTCATCACCCTGGTTACCCTAAAGAAGGCAACGAGGCATAGGAGGAAAGGGATTTTTTTTTAACTAAAAGGTAAAAATTGTAAATATTTATTTGAGATTCTAATAGGAACATGATGAATTGTTTGGATATTTTTGATGAACAGCAACAAAACAAAGAATCCTTTTCGTCGGTGAATTTATATGTCATTTAAAGTAGCTCGGCAGACAGACCCCCGTCACCTGCAGGTGCCTTGAAGCTGGTCTACAATTCAAGACGCCAATAAATTGTATGCAAACTTCTAGACTTCTCTACAATTAAACAGAAGGATTTGAAAATAAAAAAAATATGCCAACTAGGAACCAAACTACATTACATTTTTTGTATTATATTTATTTTGTACTTTATAGTTTTTGTAAGGAGACAAACATGAAATTACATGAATAATTAATTACGCTTATGATAGTTACTGTAAAGAGCTAAGCAAATAATAATAATAATATCCTAAAAAAAGTTTTTCAGAGCAAATAAAAGTGGCTAATCTAAAAGATTTTAAGATCCCTAAAAATGGAATTAAATATTTAGCTTAGATGAGCACAAATACTAGTTTTTTTTTTTTACCAATCTAGGGAATAAAGGGAGTTTGTCTCTTGGAAGAGAAATAAAGTAAGCACGGAATTTTGGGAAAGTGATTCTTTCTGAAACCTCATATTGGGGCCAAATTATCCGGAGGTGACATACTGAAATGCAAAAAGGATAGCAAATCAACCATAAATTTATGGATCCAGTAAGTGACTTATTAAATGTACTACAAAATTTGTACAAATTGTTTAGAATTTCTTTCTAAAGAAATTCCACCTACAGTGGTGAAATCAGAGGAAGCTAGTATAGACTAGAATGCTCTACCTGTCCCTGTTCTAACTGAAAAATTATTTTATGTCACTAGGACAAGTGATGATAATTAATAATAATGTTACTCCAAGTATACATTTCTTCGATGTTGAATTGAATGCTACCATTAAGCATCATTTGCCTTTCACATTTTTTTTAATATCTCAGAACAATCAAATTAACTTTTTATCAAATTAAGTTATTCTTCTCATAAAACACTATTTTGGCATTTTGCCTTTTCTCGTTGGAATTAATTGATGTGATACTAGTAATGATGGGGCTCAATAAGTTACTAAGATACTAGAAACTTAAAAATACCCCTTTAAGTGATGAAAAACCTCTGCAGACTTTTAAGAATGGGAGATAAAACATTGGGGACACTATGGGATATCTTGGAAGAGCCGGGAAGCCAGCAGTTGACGATTTTGTTCGGAGCAGAGGCAAATGAATGGACCCAGGAATGCTGATTGAAGAGTGAGCAGGAAATTAGCGGTGGGGGAAGCCACGGATGTGCATTAAATTGTTCAAACGAACTTGCAAGAAAGAAGAGAACCAGGGATTAGCTCCTAGGAACCACCACCCCTCCAGGAGCCTGAAAGCAGCTAATCGTGAGAGCGAGCGCACTGGGATTTCCTCTCCTCCTCTGCAAATGGAGGGCGTGGTCCTGCCTGATAACAGCTGTTGTGAGGATGAGTAAATCTCGTGGGCTGATCCACTGATGACAGTAACACCTTTTGCTAGGAAGAAGCCTGATGCCACAGTCAAAAGTCCTATTTCTAATCATACCAGTCATCCTAAAGACATAGATTGTGGCCACCAGGTCAAAGCACTTTGAATGGATTAAATAATTTATTAGTATTATTAGAAAAACTAAGCCCTAGCAGTGCTTATAAATTATCTTTTAAATAAAGGACAATGTTTATCATAATGATTTTTACTATCAATTCTGGCTAATATGTCATACTAATAATGATAATATGAAAGATTATAGTGATACTATTCATTCAGTCTTGGATTCTTAAATTTTGTAGTTCATTACCCATAATAATCTTGTACATTTTTTTTCTTTAGGTTTTGTCCTGTGGTTAGTAGGCCTGCTGATAAACATCCATTCAGATCATATCCTAAGGAATCTCAGGAAACCAGGGGAAACTGGGTACAAAATACCCAGGGGTAGGTACCGAAAATGGAGAGCTCATTTTAAAATTGCATTTCATGGTGCCTTGCTGTTTTAGTTTTGCCAGATCTAATAAGTAACGTATAATATTTGTTAGTTGCAAGTTTTCAATGTGAGTTACTATTATTAATAGCAGTCACTATGATTATTGTTTTATTAGAATGATAAAAGAACCAATTCTGGATAACCAAATCGTTATTAGCCAAAAGGATACTCTAGTTATATCTGTGTTTGGAAAGAGAGTATGAGGAAGAATTTTTGGCTTACAAGAGTGTCTAATGCTTCGTTTCTGGCAATATAATAGAATTGATACCGTAACTGACCCTCCCTCTGAAAACAATTAAAAATGTTGGATGAAATTTTTTAAAAATCTGTTTAAATGCATCAGTATCAAGAAAGGAAGTAATCCTCAGAGGGCAACATCTAAGTAAGTGCTCAAGTCCAGAGCGCACCTTGTGAGAATCTGTAACTACAGCTGCCCTCACGCTGGTTTGTGGCCCTAATTCACATCACTTGGAGGGTCTGAAAAACCTCAAGCCAAGAATGAGGATCCGTGTGGTCCTATGGGGTGGTGGCCTCACGCATCGGCCAGCATAAGCCCAGATCCCCAGTGGGACCTGCCCTCCATTCAAGCCTCAGAGAGAGCCTGACAGACCACACAGCATGAAATAAGAGCCACACTGGAAGGGGGCAGAACCCACAAGGAAAGATGGCAGCACAAGTAAGCGCATCATTGAACTTGAGAGATTTCATATCTTAGAGTTCATAGAAGCAGACTATAAAGTGAATACTAAATGTTTTAAAAAATAAAAAGGGATTGAAATTATGAGTAAAGGAGTAATACACTATAAAAAGGACTCAGCAGACATAAGATAGGAAGCAATAGAGCTTCTAAAGATAAAATAAATAAACCTCAGTAGGTAAAGCCAGAACTGCAGTGGAGCTGGAAAACCCATGGCGGTGCTTAGTTTAGAATCCCTCCACTTGTCTTCCTGGAAACCATGTGAGGAGAAGAACATAGCAGACAAATGACGAAGAACTCCTACAAATCCCAAATCACTTCACCTGTGTCCTGAGGTGGTCCTTGGAGTGTGCTCTGCTCTCCAGCCTCAGGGCCTTTGCTTCTCCTCCCTGGGGCACTCGCACCCCAACAGCTGCAGCCCAGCTCTCTCCACCAGCCTTGGATCAAACCTCACCTGCCCAGCGAGGCGGATCCCAACCACCGACTGTGACTGTGACCTCCCTCCACCCCCAGCCCGACTCTCACCTGTTCTGCTCCTCGAAGTACTCCTTACCCTCTGCTGTGCTCTGTGCTTTCCTGGTTTGTCCACTGGGTTTACTGTTCCAGATGGGGGGGTCTTGTCCACAGTGCACCCCAAGTGCCTAGAGCAGGGTCTGGCCCATAATGTCGACCTGAGGAATCTGCAAAGATTTGGTGAGTGAATGAATGAAATACTTGAATGAATCTGTCCTTGAAAATTAATATGTCCTTCAAGTTTTGGTCTAGGGTTCTATATAGGTCCATTTTATTAAGCTAGTTCAATCGTTGTTATTCTGTATTCTCTGTCCTTGATCCATTAAGTAGTAAAGTGATATATTAAAGTATATTAAAACTGTGGCATTTTATGTTCAGATAAATAGATAGGTATTGACATAGGTATTTAGTTACTCTCAGACATTGTGATGTGAAATAGTAAAACTGGTAATATTGAGTGTGTTTCATTGATTAAAATTCTGTAAAGATTGTATTTTCCCAGAGTTGAATTTATGTTTTCCAAGTGAGGCTCCGCTGGCGTATCTTATGTCAGAATTTCCTTAGGCATCATTTGGTGGTAAATGCTCTGCCTGGTCTGTGTTTCCTTCCAGGGGGCTTATTTGAGTACATAAGTGCAGCCAACTACTTTGGAGAAGTCGTGGAGTGGTGTGGCTATGCCCTGGCCAGCTGGTCTATCCAGGGCGGGGCCTTCGCTCTGTTCACATTCTGCTTTTTATTCACCAGAGCACAGCATCATCACCAGTAAGTTTTAAAACACTTAATAACGTTTAGCATTTTGAATTTGTTTTCTGAGCTTATTATAACAATTTTCACGTGAGATTTTTGAAATGTTAATATTAATTTCAATTGCCAAGTCCGTTTATACCATGCGTAGCTAAACAAGTTACAAAACCATGCAAATATCTGAAGAATAACCCACGACAAGGAATCATCAGATACACATGAGCATCGTTGTTTGCTCCACCCCGTTCTGAGCCTCTTCAAAGGTATGCTGCTGGACTCAGTGGTCAAGTTACATGTCAGGTGGAGAGTCTGGATTCTGACCTGGAACACGCTGTACAGTGGGGAGTGCTGACTGCACAGTAACAGACCGCAGAAGGCTGCAGTGGGAGGAATCCCTGAAGCTGGAGGGACGTTCCAGCCTCGGGCCCTCACAGTGCTTCTTCACACAGGGCTCTCCACTGTGTGAACCCGGGGTCCCTGATAGGCTCCCAAGCTCTGTGCACCCCAAAATTACATCATTTTCCAAACTGTGGATCCTCAGCCTTTATCAGATCCCCAAAAGGGCCTGTGATCCATTTGACCAATAAAATAAAAAATAGAGGATGTGAAGGCTGAAGCGAACTTAGAGAGCATCTTTCTAGTCTGACAGATGAAGAAACTGAGGCTCAGGGAACAGAGTCTCAGACAGGTTGGAAGGCACGTCTCATTGAGAAGGGAGAGACCTCGGGGCCGTATCAGCATTGGGACAGTCCTCTGACGCTGCAGCGAGGATGGAGATTTGGCGTGGGCGGATTGCCCTGGTGCCCACCTTGATCGCGCGTGTCCTCTGAGCCAGAGAACACGGCACCGCTTCCCTGGCTTCCTTCACTCCCAGTGCTGCTGACACTGTGAGGCATACAAAAATGTGTAACGATGTCCTACTTCATGGAATTTGTTATCTCTTTTGGGAAGAGGACACAGATAAAAAGCCAACAGAAGAATGGATAGATATCATGGCATAGTGGACAGACTTTTTAGAGTCAAAATTCCTAGGTTTATTTCCCAGGCTCACCACCCATTTAAAGGTGCAAAGAATTATTGTTAGAGATAATAATGGAGAACGGTCAGAGCTGCAATGCCTAGTTAGCTAATATTTGAAGACATTATCTCAAAAGCGTGAGAGTTACTGAGATCCTAAGAGAGACACCCACATGCTTTGTGGTGTTCCATTGTGCTGGTGAGCTTGGTATGTTTACAGACAGACAGTGAGGGGAAAGCAAGATCCGAGAGCTCCTGTCTGTATCCCAGAGCTGCTAGCAAGACAGAGGTAGGAAGAAAATTCATGCCCAAAAGGGCTGTGGAAAAGGGTTGCAGTGTCAAAAGTAGCAGAAAATGCTGGAGTGCAAGAATGCTTTGCTGCTGTGGGTAATGAGCTGTGTCCTCCCAAAAACACGTTGAAGTCCTAACCCTCGTACCTGTGAAAGTGGCCTTATTTGGGAATGGCATCATTGCAGATGTAATAGTTAAGATGAGGTCACACTGCGGTAGGTGGGACCCCAAATCCACTATGGCTGGTATCCTTACAAAAGGGAAATTTGGACACAGACACGCACACAAAGAAGAGAAGGCTGTGTGAAGACAGACACAGGGAAGACGGGCATGAGAAGGCGGAGGCAGAGAACCAAGGAACGCCTGAGGCTGCCAGAGCTGGAAGAGGCAGAGAAGGAGACTTCCCTAGAGCTTCGGAGGGAGCGTGGCCCTGTCCGCACCTTGATTTCAGACTTCTGGCCTCCAGAACTGTGAGACTATAGATTTCTCTTGTTTTAAAGCCCCTAGTTTATGGCACTTGGTTACGGCAGCCCTAGGAAACTACACACTAGCCTTTCAGCCACTTAAAATCGATCGGGCCACAGTAAAGGCAGTGGGTATGAGTCTCGAAGCCCTCAGTTTTCTCCTCTGCTAGATGGCATCACACTAGAGATTTCCCCAAATCTCATGTTGTTTTTCTATGAAATGCTTTTTTCAGAACCAGAGAGTCACACTCTAAACAGTCTTCACTGAAATAATATGTTACCGCTTTAGACAAAATATGTGTAACAAAGTCCTAGAAAATGAATAAAACAGAGCTAGATTTCATGCAGCAACAGTGACAGCCACCAGTGAATCTCGGCCCAGCCTGACATGCTGTGTGTCTGGGGATCCGTCCTTCTGCTCCTCCTCCTGGCCCCAGAGCAGGAGGCCGAGACCACCACCTCGTGGCTGGCATCACCACTGGGGGAAGATGCTATTCCTGTATGTCTGTTATATTAGATATTAAAAAGTGAATATTGGCTGGTTTCTAGTAACAAAAACAAATGAGATAATATGGATATTTTAAGAAACTGGATCAGAGGAAGATTGAGCATGCCAAATCATTTGCAGAGATGTTTTCTCAAATGAAAACAGGGAACAGGGAAATCCCTCTCAATATTTGAATATGAAACTTAGAGAAATAGAAAATGAATAATTCCATTTTCCAGATGAGAGTCTCTGTTAATGAAAGCCCAAAGGTATTCCTTGCAGAAATATTCATGAGTTGAAAAGGGCTCTTCATCATTCATTTGCTGTTGAAATTGACGTCAGTACAAAGCCAATTTTAATGGCTGAACAATTAATCAGTTCAGTTTAGTGGAAGTATGTTCAGAAATGTTGGATTTATAAGCCAAGGACAAAACAAAAGCTATCCTTTTTTTTAATAATCCAGTGAACCCAACTAATTAAACCATCAGATCAGTTGATTGATACAATGAATTTCTGTAACAACTAGAGGTGAAATATTTAAATTCATAAGTGATTATATTAATAATTAAGCTCTACTTCGGAAACATTGGGTCCACTGTGCCAAGTTGCTAACAGATACTCTGGTTTGAGGGCAAGATTTCCAGGAATTATAAGGAGGGATGTTGTCGCACTGTTTCTTCCCCACCAGCCTCTAGCAGCCACCCTTATTCAGTGGAGCACTGTGCTGGCTCACACGCTCTCACAGCTCTCTCTGAAGCAACAGTCGAGTACAGATGTGTACTTGTTCACGCCTAAACCCTGGAAGCTGGGGGCCAGCCATTGAGGACAGCCTTTGAGGAGGGACTCTATTAAAATAAAAAATTATTGCACACCTACCTAATTCATTCATTAAAAAATGAATTCAATGTGTCTTCAAGACACTGTGATTGACAGTGTAATGATTTAAAAAAATCAGGACGAAGCAGAATATGTTTGTGAAATACTTCCTTATCTCACAGCCCCATTCATCAGACTTGAGTCCAAAAGCACAATTTGTGACCACTCAGAAAGTGTTTACTCAGTTGTCAGTGACTGTCTCCGCAGAGAAAGACTTCCATGAGAGAAATTTGGGAACACTAAGCTGTTTGTAAGCCAGAAAAACAATACCTGCTTTGAAGAGTAATTTGAAGAATTATCTCAGATTTAGCATAACCTCAGTGTGACGAAGTGGGTGTCCCTCAGCCAGGGGTTATTTCCCCTCCAACAAAAAAGCAATGGGTTGTTACTTCAGGTTCTGTGATAATAAAATCAAGACAAAGAATTGGTGTCCAGCCCTGGTCAGTGTCACATGAGTGACCCTGATTCCAGGGATAGAAAAATGAGTCAAAAAATAGTACAAATCATGCTGCTTGCCCTTTTAAAGACATTTTTACAAATACACATATCTATAAATCATAAAATATAATTTCTTGAGGTGGATTTGTGATCTCAGTGATTAAATGAATGAGAAAATTTAGCTCTATTTAATCATTTAACAAGGTTTATTTTATTCCTATATAATAATTTCTGTGAAATAAACTTAACTTGTATGACAAACATGCCTTTATTGGGTGAGAAAATCTTGATCTAACAAAGTTCTTCCCAGCATCGTGAGGAGTGCAGCCCTGCTGCACAGCGCTTCTTCTGACCGTCCTGCAGGGGCGTGTGGACGTGGCTGGCCTGTCTTTGCGGATTTTACACTGTCGTTTGCATCTGCTCTCGCCCTTTTTGGGCCAGCATGTCCCTCTTCAGTGAGCAGTTTCTAGGAGTTGGCCTCCTGCCTCTCGGTGCTCAGTCCCCGATGCTGTGGACCCATGGGGAAGCTCTTAGAAGCTTGCTCATGGTCCATGTTCTAGATCCCTAGCAGGCTGTCTTAGTCCGTTCAGGCTGCTATTACAAAAATACCATCAACTGGGTGGCTCTTAAACAACAAACATTTATTTCTTACAGTTCTAGATGCTGGAAGTCCGGGATCAGGGTGCCAGCTTGGTCAGATTCTCATGAAGGTCTTCTTCCGGGCTGCAGATGACACTTCTCACTGTGTCCTCACATGGCGGAAAGAGCGAGGAGCTTTCTGGGCCCTTTTATCAGGGCACTAACCCTATTCCTGAGGGCTCCACCCTCATGACCTAATCACCTCCCCAAGGCCTCACCTCCTGATACCATCACCTTGGGCATGAGGTTTTTAACATATGAATTTGAGGGGTACACATTCAGACTATAGGACAGTATACTCTAAACTTTCAATACCTAATGAGTAAATACGTGTGTTAGGCACTTGCACATCCTTTGCACTGCTGTTATTTGTAGCCACGTTCTGAGATGGGCACTCTTGTCTCCAGGCACATCACTGATCTGGAAAAAGCTGTTGTTACTCTGGTGTTGTGTCAGGGGAAGTGATGCTTGATTCAGAGGGCCACTGACTAGCTTCCCAGGATTTTTCTCATTACCTACTTTTTATTTATTTATTTACTTATTATTTGTGAAGAAGATCAGCCCTGTGCTAACATCTGCCAATCCTCCTCTTTTTTTGCTGAGGAAGACTGGCCCTGGGCTAACGTCCGTGCCCGTCTTCCTCCACTTTATATGGGACACTGCCACAGCATGGCTTGCCAAGCGGTGCGTCGGTGCACGCCCGGGATGCGAACCGGCGAACCCAGGGCCACTACAGCAGAGCGCGCACACTTAACCACTTGCGCCACCGGGCCAGCCTGACTCATTACCTACCTTTTTGAGTGTACAGAACAGCAACTGAAAGTAAACATGGCAGTGTACTATGTCACACTTCTGTATTTGTGGATGACAGTGTTAAACTTATCTAAAATTGACAGGATTTTGCCGGCTTACCTTCAGTTTGTTGTTGTCACATATTTCTGCCATATTAACAAATAGCTAATCATTTTCCGTCGTGATGTTTAGTGTGTTTAGCACTCTTTGGTGTTTATGGAAACTCCCTTTTTCTGCCTATTTCTCCATCTTGTCAAATTATTTTTAACTTTTATTCCATCCGATCAGTTGCCACCCTTTTCAACTAGCTGTTACCCCAAAGGAATGCGTGTACCTTTGTTGATACGATTTATATCAAAACTGAAAACGCCTGTTTGTTCTGAGAGCAGGGCCAAATTATGAACGACCCCATCTTGCATTTTCCCAGGTCTGTTTGAGAGTCACCCGGCACGTAGTTGGTTGCCTTTTTAATAGACCCTAGGTCTGGAGCCAGGGTTCTCCTGGGGACTGAGAAAGCTATCCAAGTCACCAAGAAGATATTCAAGATACCTATGCCTAGTCAGCTCCTCTCCTCCACCCCAGTCTACAGGCTTCCCGGGTCTGGAACATGCTATCAGCATCTGTATCACATGTCAGTAATTTTCCTTGCCAATAGAAAGGTCAACTATTTGGGTTCCTTCTTGTGAGTCATGCTTTATGGTCAGATATATTTAATTATTCATGATATGGACAAAATCAAACTATGTATCTGAAATGCCAAAGCTTTTATTCCTACTTTTAAAAAGTTCAGTATTCCTGTAGAATGAAAAATATTGGCCTGTTTGTTAGCATCTGTTAAATATTTAGGTGACAAAATTATTTCCTTTTTTTAACATTTTGTTTTTCTTATTTTAGGTGGTACCTTGAGAAATTTGAAGATTATCCGAAGTTCAGAAAAATTATAATTCCATTTCTGTTTTAAGTCAGTTGTCAATGGAATTATCTTCCACTTAAAGCTTTTCGATGATGTTTCTTTGGGGATCATGTAAATGAATTATTTTTCTGTAATTTTCGTGCTGCTTAATCTTTTTTAAGATTTGTTCCAGGAATTTTTTTTTCTAGTAAATTTGTAAGCTACCTAATAAGAAACTACTGAAACTGAAATGCAGGTTGAAGTATTACCCTGCATATCAGGTCAGGAATCTGGGACTCTGGGTAATTACTGCTGATTGTTTTTCTGATTTTGGATTTGCCTCTTGGGTCTGTGTACAGCTAAATGTGCGCAAGACCAGAATTTACCAGGCGTCTTTGGTGGCCTCTATGGACCGAAACATTTGACTCCCCCTTCTACAACTCCTACAACAATTGGTTCAAGGTCAAAGGCGATGTTGTCCCCTCCCCTGCATAGAGGCGTGATCTGTCTTCAGATCCTTCTCCTCCTGCTGAGTCAGAGAGGCCTGGGGTACCCACAGTGTAGTCATGGCCTCAGGGAAACTCAAGGCTCTCACTGTTGGGTGCTGTGCAAGCAGAAAACTTGGGGGTAAAGAAAGGAGACATGAGAGGCCCCGTTGAGGCCTAGACAAGGGCATCCGGCACTTGCTCCAGCCTGGCTCACCAGGTGACTTCACTGGTAGGGCCAGGCGCTGGGGGTCCTCATAAGGAGCAAGCCGCTCTGTCCCCCGTGAAAGAGACTTCTTGGAGGCCCGCAGGTGGGAGTGCGATGGTGCAGCAAGGCAGCCCTCCCATCTCGGGTCCTTCCGCATAAGCCATCGGCAGTCTCTGCTCTAAGATGGTTTTTCTTCTTCCTTCTAGGTAGAACTAGAAATTTTTAAGGCATTTTTTTTAAGTACCTCTCAATATTGCAAAACGGTATCTTGACCCAGAATTTCTTACTTTAGATGCACTCTAAGGGTCCATGGAGAGAAATAGCAGTAATACAATTTACTACTTATTGCCAGATATTTAAAGGAAATCTCTAATCAGAAGGCTGTTGAGTCTCTTGGACCCTCTGTGAAAATCTAATGAGCACACGGTAAAGATCCTCTCCTCTACTGGGACAGCGCTGCCTCAGTTGCTGTCGCCTTTGCAGAGGTGGAAACCGAAAGGGAACTGGAAGTGAAGAGACTTTGTGTTCACTTATGGTACACTAATGGTGCTAGGTGGCCTGAAGTTGTGTCCTCTCGTTTTGCTGCCTACCGCCTTTGGGCAGGGGGTGGGCTCTCCTGCACCCCAGCTCCCCGGACCCCTGGGCATCCGGTCGGCTCCCTCCACCCTTCTCCTGTCTCTCCTTCCCAACCAGGGGCTCCCTCCCTCACGAGTTTTCATTAGAAACTGTATTCTTGGTGTTCATGGTTTTTAGAGTCTCTTGAGGTTTTAGAATTACCCAAAAAACCTCTCCTGGTTTGGCTATGCTTCACTTTAACTAAAATCAGAATGGTTTTGCAGGGAAATTTTATTATTAAATCAGCTTTGGCCCTTTTTCTGACCAACTAGTTACTTGAAAACATAAAGCAATAAATATTTTGGATCTCTTCAAAAAAGCTCAAACTTGTGAGCCCATCCTGATTGATTTGGGCTCCTGTGTTCTGGAAGGCACGCCTGGCCAGAAGGATGTCTGTCTGAGAGCCAGAGGAGCTCACTGTGAATTTTACTTCTGTTACTGCTTGCTTTTTATTTGAATGACCGTAGGTAGAAAGGTTTGGGTTAACTCAAGGTTTGCTGCACAGTTTTTACTTTTATTGGCGCTCACTGGATGAATGATTGACATAGGAAGAAATCTTGATCTGTCTTATCTCACTGCCCTCTGTTTCCTAAAGACTCTGACTTAGTAAATTGTTGTCAGTCATTGTATTAACTATAATTAAGGAGATTAATAAAATTACTGTTAAAAGTCCCATCGTTTTTGTCAGCCTTCAGTGTTACTCTACCATGTCAACACCTCTTCACTCTAGAAGTTCAGACAATAACATTATTTTCAGCCCTGAAATCTGCTTCCCACCTATGTTAACATTTCGTAGTGTCAAATGTTCTTTTCTATCTTGGTAGAGCTGTGTAACAGTCTTCATATAAATCTTGTGTGTTTCTGTTAAGGTTATTTTTAAATAGTTGATATTTTGTTTATTGTGAATGAGAATGTGTCCCCAAATACATTTTATAACTAGGATAAATCAAACCTATTGATGTTTGTATGTTTGTCATATCCAGCCATGCTACTGAAATTATTTTATGAATTCCGACTTTTTTCTTTTGTTATTTTTAGACTCTCTAGCTTTGCCGTCATATCATTTGCAAATATCTTAAGCTCCTTTTTGCAACATTTGAAGCTGGTGCTTTTGTTGTTGTTTGCTTCTTATATTAGCAAGAAATTTGAAAACAATATTGACTAATAGAGAGGGTTGTCAGGATTCTTGTGTGATTTTTAACAGGTACGCCTTTTTTCAAGATTACTATTTTGAGTATTCTTTTATTTTCTTACATTGTTACTGGTCTGTTTTCTACTGTAGCCATTGAGATCATTTCTTTGCTTTTTTAAAAAGTCATCTATTTCTTCTGAGATTTTCAAATGTGCTCCATTCAGATCAGAAGTGAGATGGAGGGTTTGCCAACAGGTGTAGAGGAGACCGTGAAGTACAAAAACATGTTCCCTGGGACAGTCTAGCCTTGTGGGCTATTGTTTTTGTTAGATAATCTTATGATTTATCTTTTTTTGTTTTACTCTAAACTAACTTTTATTATGATAATTTCCCCTGAATTTCTTAATTTATTAATATCTGCTTTTGTCTTTTCACTATTCTAATTTGAGGGAGATATTTTTGTTGTGTTCATAACTGCTTAAAGGGAGTGCTTCCTTCAATTATTTTCTTAGCTTTTAAGGCTGTGCGTTTCTGCTAAGTACCATTGACCGCATTTCCTTAAGTTTAATAACGTTCCTGTAATTATGATCCTGAGTTGTCTCCAGCTGTACTTCTTAGGTTTGCTTTGATCTAAATGTTTTTAGGAAACTAATTTTTGTTTGGAATGATGTTTTTTACTTTTCAATCTTTAGGGGATTTTATTTAAAGGTTTTTTCCTTCTTTTTCACAAGTGTGGATATAGTAGAGATCATTTTCAGTGCAATTTCTCCTCTGTGGATTTTGAGTTTTTCTTTGTAGTCTCAAGCCTTTTATAACAATAACAAGACCATTTTAAAAAGTTTATCTTGTTTGTTCTATGGTTATTAATTCAAACATATTAATTAAATTGTTAAAATTCTCTTCAACCTTACTTTTCTTCCATGTCAAATTTTCCTTGTATTTCTAATAGTTTTTGCTTTTTGTTTTGATGCTGTTGTTTTGCAAAACTTTCCACCTTATAGTCTGCATCTGTTGTAAATATCAGATAATCTTCCTGCTGAGTGCTGCTTGCCTTGAATTCTGCTGTGATAAGAATATTGCCACACTGCTTTTTGTGTTGATAAATGCGTCTAGTATTTCTTCACCTATCCTCTCATTCCAAGGTTTTAAATGTCATTTCTTTTAGTTGTCTTTAACAACATAATAAATGGACTTTGTCATTTAATAAGTTAGCTCAAATTCTCTTACTAATTGCTACACCAAAATGTTCTATCTTCTATCATGTTTTCTGTTTTTATTGTTTGTTTGCAGCTTCCTTTGCTTTCTATGGTGATTTGGAAAGGAGATTTCCTTTTAAAAGAAAAGACAGCAACATTAGGAATGATTTTATGTTTTTTAGGAGTACACCCAAAAGCTCCCAGTTAAATATGATGAACTAAACATATGTGTTTCCTTCTCCCCTCCCTATCCTGGCCCCATTACGATCACTGGGAAGGAATTGAAGGGTGAGGGAGGAGTGGCCCCATGAAGAGAACGAGATTGAGTCATCACTGCAGAATAACACAGCACCCGTGGGAACGGGGACTGGTAAAGCGGGGCAAAGGAGCTGTGATGATGGGGGGCCCGCAGTGTGCCCTGCTCAGATGGTAGGTCCTAAGTGCCAGGGCTGAGGGGAGGAAGTGAAATGTGCACTCAAAATGAGGGCCAACTGGAAGTCTGTGCGCAGAGCAGACAACAGTGTCCCCTCAGTTCCTGCTCCCCACAAACAGCACATAAAGTCCAGAAATTAGCCATGTACCCCTTCCCAGGGAAAAGCAAGGGGGGTGTGGGGATGGGGATAAGGGACAGGGGCCTTTCTAAATAAAAATTAGCTCTCTGGGGACAACAGAGCAACTAGATTTTGGCATCCCAGAAAAAAGTGGTTCTCCACATGTCGGTCTTCAGGGGTCTTCCAGCATAGTCCTTGGTCACCTTCTGCCTCGTGTTGCACGGGAGCCTGGGGAGGCATGGTCCCCCACATTACAGGCTCCTACTCAGCTTTTCTAGTGCTTATTTTTTTGTGGTGAGGAAGATTAGCCCTGGGCTAACATCCGTTGCCAGTCCTCCTCTTTTTTGCTGAGGAAGATTGGCCCTGGGCTAACATCCGTGCCCATATTCCTCTACTTTATATGTGGGATGCCTGCCGCAGCATGGCTTTATAAGCAGTGCGTAGGTCCACGCCCGGGATCCAAGCCTGTGAACCCCAGGCCACTGAAGCAGAGTGCGCAAACTTAGCCACTACGCCACCAGGCCAGCCCCCCGGTGCTTTTTAAAAAATGTGAACTGATGACCAAGAATCACTGGATACTTAGAAAGGTCTGCATCATGAAAGAAAGACAAATGCCTCTGGAGAAAATATTCCAGGAGCAAAAGGGAAATGTTTTGTAAAAAAATTCTAACATCAGGGGGATTCATCATCAACAGGTGAGAGGACAAACTGTGGGACATCATGCACTGGAATACGACTCAGCAGTGTGAAGGAATGGACAACAGCTGTAGATTTACAAATCACATATCAGGTAAGGGTTTTGTATCTAAATATGTAAAGAACTCTCAAATTTAAATAATAAAATATTTTAAAACAATTTTTAATGGGCAAAAGATTTGAACAGACACTTCACCAGAGAATATATACAAATGGCAAATAACCAAATACAAAGATGTGTACTGTCTTTAGTCGTTAGGGAAATGCCAATCAAACCACCGTGAGATGCCACTGCACGTCTCTGTATTGTGTACAGATAAGTGTTTGCCTGGGGATGGGGCCAAAGGAGGGAGTTGATAAAAGGGCCTGAGGAAATATTTGGGGTTGATGTTCATTAAGAGGTTGACGTGTGAAGGTTTCATGGTGTATGCATCAAATTATACACTGGAAAGATATGCAGTTCATTCAATTTTCATTATACCTCAATAAAGCTATTATTACACTCATAAGACAGGATGCTGCAAAAACAAAATTATCTAAGCACAATGAATCTAGAAAGTTCTACCAAAATGTGGTAGAAGTAGAAGATAAAATCAAGACTA